TATTAGTATGGCTATTTTGAGATTATTTGATATTAGCTCTAGGATAGAACAAGTACTTTATGTGAATATTAAGAACCAAGATTGTTTAGGAAAACGACATTTTTAAAAACACAAATAAAAGCCAAGGTGTTGATCAATACCTTAATGCCAGCACTTGGAAAACAGAGGCAGTCAGATTTCTGAGTTTGAGGCCAGGGCTACAGAGTGAGCTCCAGGACAGCCCTGGCTGTGCAGAGAAACCCTCTCTCAAAAAACCTAAATAAATAAATAGTCAAACAAATGTAATATTTGTTTTGAAAACTAGAGTATTAGTTTTGAAATGGCAGTAAACAGAATAATATATGATTTTTTTTTTGAAATAGTTACCTGTAGCTCTGTCTCTGGAAAGGTATGGAAGTGACCCCTCACCCATCACTAGTAAGCACACCATTACAATTTCCCAGGAAAATACCACACCTTAAAAAAATGGCAGACTGAAGTTCAGGACAGGAAATATCCAAGATAAATGTGAATCACTTTTATTATGCTAGAAAACAGCAAGCTGTAAATTTTTCTATAATTGAGTTAAAAACCAGTGTGGAGTAGGGATGAAAAATGTACTCAGAGGTAGTAGGTCACTTGCCTGGCACACATGATGCCCTGGACTTTAGAATGATCCCCATCCCTGGGGGAGAGGATGGACAGTGTGATGGAATTTTCACTGGCCAGAGACAAGAAAACCTGAACATAGTAATAAATAACTACATACAGTTGAATATAAAAACCCAGGCATTGTTGTGGAATATTAATTTAAGATGTGTTAAATTTGTTTATGTTGTGGAATATTTGTTTAGTGATGCAAAGGTGCTGCATTCTTTTATGTTGCATTTGTTTAACTCTGTGAAGCTGTGTTGCTTTGCCTGTCTAAAATATCTGATTGGTCTGATAAAGACCTGACCAGCCAATAGCAAAGCAGGAGAAAAGATAGGTGGGGCGAGCCAGCAGAGAGAATAAGTAGGAGAAGAAATCTGGGAGGGGAGATCAAGTAGAGAAAAGAAGAAGGACTCCAGGGACCAGCCACACAGCCAGACATGGAATAAGAAGGAAAGAAAAAATATGCAGAAATAGACAAAGGTAAAAGTCCAAAGGCAAAAGATAGATGGGATAATTTAAGTTAAGAAAAGCTGTCTAGAAACAAGCCAGACTAAGGTCAGGCATTCATAAATAAGAATAAGCCTCCATCCACTTATTTGGGAGCTGTGTGGTGGGCCCCCACAAAAGAGTAAAGAGTAACAATCGTGCCACAAGGACATGTGCTCAACTATGTTCATAGCAGCATTGTTGGTCATAGCCAGAACCTGGAAACAACCTAAATGCCCCTCAGCCGAAGAATGGATAAGGAAAGTGTAGCACATTTACACAATGAAGTACTTACCATACAGCAGAAAAAAATAACGACATCTTGAAATTTGCAGGCAAATGGATGGTGCTAGAAAGCATCATATTAAGTGAGGTAACCCAGACCCAGAAAGACAATTATCATATGTACTCACTCATGAGTAGTTTTTAAACATAAAGCAAAGAAAACCAGCCTACAATTCACAATCCCAGAGAACCTAGACAACAATGAGAACACTAAGAGAGACATACATGCATCTAATCTACATGGGAAGTAGAAAAAGACAAGATTTCCTGAGTAAATTGGGAGCATGGGGACCATGGGAGAGGGTTGGAGGGGAGGGTAGAGGCAAGGAGGGAAACAGAGAAAAATAAATAGCTCAATAAAATTTAAAAAAACAAAACAAAAAAAAGAGTAAAGAACCAAAGAGTTTTAAAAAAAAAAAAAACCAACCTACTACAAGGTATTCACCAGACATGCAGATTCTAGTAGTGTTAGTGTCAGAAGTGACTGCTGTGCCTGCTCTGTACTCTCAACTTAGTACTTACTGAAAAAAAATAGATTTATTTTTTTTAATCATTCCTAGGGTGTTAACATTCAGAGGATGTTAAAAGAACTAAATAACCCTAATTGATAATAGAAAATTCTCTCTTGAGAAAAATTTCCCAAGGAAATTTTATTTAATATTTGTGGCCGGAATAAATAATTATAAAAACCAAATTCCGATTCTATATGAAATCATTGATTCATGTGATGATAACCAGTTAGGATAAAACTTTGGGTTGCTATGGGTCTCAGACTTTGATTCCTGTGCCTTCATCTTCAGTATCACGTGGATGCTTTCTAGAAACGGTGCAGGTGCTCAGCCCCTTTCTTAAAGCTTTCAACAGCCTTTGACATAGTACCCAGTAGTCTCTGATTAACAAGCCTTGTGAGAGTTCCGTGTGTCCTGGCATTTTAGAACCATGATCATAGCAGTCATTGATGAGAATCCTGAATGGAAAGATCACTCCAGGAGCTCACTAGTCAATCAAAGCACTCCTAAGCAGAACCAGATATTACAGTGCTCCTCAGAAATATCTACAGCATTTTGTCACTTTTTAAAAAACTAAGCCTACATTTATTCAGTCCTTTTATATTTGTAATATAATGTATATGGAATATGGGAAGTTGAGGAATCAGTGAAACAATCCTCCCTAAAGACAGTTTGATCATCTTTACCAGAAATTTCCTATATTCTCAAAGGATCATTTCTTTTCCTTCAGAACTGTAGATGATTATTGTCTAGGCAGAGTGAAGCACTGTGAGCCTACCATTTCAGATTCTGATACTAGCAAATGCAGAATAGATAAAATACCCATTTATATTTAAGACTTGTTGATAAAAAGGTTCATAACATCACCATAATAAGATTTCAATAGGCTTGTTAAATGTTTATAGTGTCCTGTGTAGTGCTAAGTGTTGTGGAGATTATAGTAGAGAAAAGCTTGATTTATAGTCTCAAAATGCTTAGATGTGTGTTTATTTTCAAAGCACACTGTTACCATTAAGATTATATATGTATACATTGGGATATTTTTGTATGTGAGAGTAATTGCAGTGTTTTTGAGTGTGATATGTGATAAGGGATTCTGTGGTGGTTTGGATGAGAATGACCCCAATAGGCTCATATATTTGAATGTCTGGTTCCAAGTTCCAAGTTCCAAGACTCTTTAGGAAGGATTAAGGGGTGTGGCCTTGTTGGAGGAGGTGTGGCCTTATTGGAGGGGATTTGTCACTGTGAGTGGGAATTAAGATTTCAAAAGGCCATGCCAGGCCCAATCTGCCTCTTTCTGCCATAAACTTGTGGTTCAGGAATGTGCGCTCTCAGTTACTGTTCCAGTGCCATGCCTGCCTGCGGCCATGCTTCCTGCCATGATGATCATGGACTCACCGTCTGAAACTGTAAGCAAACTCTCAATTAAATGGTTTCTTTTATAAATTTCCTTAATCATGGTGTCTCTTCACAGCAAAATATAACAGTAACTAAATTCAGAAAAGAGAAATTCTTTTTACTTAAAATGATACAAGACTACCAAGGGTCAAGACACTTGAGCAAGATCCTAAAAGGATGATTAGGATTTCAGTAAGAGTTTATAAGAGATGATAAAAGAATTCAGTCCCAGGTTCTGATCCTAATTAACTAATTCACTTAAAAGTTATTTAAATTCAGCTAAATTATTGAATTCTTTTTATCTTCAGCTTTCTTGCCCATAATGTGGGAATTAGAAAAAGATATCATAAAGGTTTGTAGGATGCAAAATACTCTGGTATCAGTATACTTTGTAAACTGCAAAGTCTTTTATAAATTTTAAAAAGAAACAATCATATTTAGAAGGTAGTGGACCAAAGGCATGAGTTTTAAAAAAAGAAAAAGGAAAAGAAAAGAAAAGAAAACTATAAACCATGTAGATGAGGGCAGAGAGAAAATGTGATGATACCTGAATATTATTACTGTGCTTGATTTATGTCAGTTTGGCACCAACTATAGTCATCTGAGGGAAGGGAACCTCATTTGAGAAATTGCCATCATAAGACTGGCTATAGACAAGATTGTAGAGCATTAATCAGTGTGGTTGGGTCCACCCCATTGTGGATGGTTCCTCCCCTGGTTTTGTAGTCCTGGGTGCTATAAGAAAGCAGGTTGAGCCAGCCCTCTCCTATAGCCTCTGCATCAGCTCCTACCTCCATGTTCCAGCCCTATTTGAGTTCCCTCAGTGAACTGTGATTTAGGATATGTAAGCCAAATAAACCCTTTTTCCCAAAGTTGCTTTTGGTCATAGTGTTTCATGACAGAAATAATAATCCTAAGTAAGACAGTCACTAATCTAATTCTTTACTTAAGAAAACTACCTTAAGTAAATTTTTTCAAGATTTATGTTGGTCCTCTCCTTCTAAAGATTACAGAAGGCTTTCAGCTCTTCAGGTTGTAGCATTTAGTTTTACTGAAGTCATGTATATAGTTGATGTACAATTAATTTTCAGTCAAACTGCTTTACTAAAGATTGTAACACTGTACAAAGAAGCTAATGTATCCTACAAAATATATTGTCTTACAGCTGTGGCTTAGAGTCGTTTGTCATGGTTGTGATTAGAACACAAATTTGTCTGTTCTTGGGTAGACTATTGAGTAGATCGGAATTGTTTCTTTCAACAGACTAGGGTTTAAATTATTTATAGGTCTCACATGAAAGTGAAGCTTATAATGCCCCTGCTCAGAAAATTCATTCGTGTTCTTTCCTTTGCAAGAGTTTTTATGTATTTAAATGTGATGTGAAGAAACAATATCTTTTCAGCAAATTAGCAGAGTCCACAGGAACAAATATAAAATAAGCTTAGTTTGCAATGTCGTGTGGATATTGTGTAACCCTTGCTGTTATCTGACATTGGCTTCTGGAATTTATGTAGAACCTGTGAAATATAGTTGAGATTACTTTTCCAAAGGCAAGAAACTTGGGAGACATATTGTTTGTGTTATTAGAACATTAATTTTTCATTAAATAAACTTTGTAAGTATTTTCTTAAATGCTAATATTGAGGTTATTTTATTTTGGTGAAAGATTCTAAATGTTCTCTTTTACAGATTATCTTGCTAATCATGGCCGGTTAAATGAATCTGAAGCCAGGAGAAAATTCTGGCAAATTCTGTCTGCTGTTGATTATTGCCATGGCCGAAAAATTGTGCACCGTGACCTGAAAGCTGAAAATCTCCTGCTGGATAACAACATGAATATCAAAATAGCAGGTGACTGGGGTGCAATGCCTGGGAAATGACCAGATGAGAGTCTGTGTGTGAAGAGAGCCCTGCAAGCAGAGTCAGTCTTCAGCAAGATGTTTTTACCTGTGTGTGGCTGTAAAAAAGAAAATGTGTTTACTATTAAGTATACAGGGTAGGACTGTACTGAGTGGTCTGATTTCTTGGGAGGTTGTTGGACAAAAGTGAGACTTTTTGGATGGCTGGAGAGGGCCAGGAGTTCTGGTTACTGACTCTAACTGGCTTCTCTTCTAATGCTGATGGCTGTAGTGAGGATGCAAAAGGAAAAGACAAAGGCGATGGAAGCAGATTGAGAACAACACAGAGATACATCACACACATATTTCTGTGGATGTGTGTGCTATTCTGTTGGGTTTTGTTGTTGATGGGTTTTTGTTTGTTTGTTTGTTTATGGGTCTCATATAGCCCAGACTGGCCTCACACTATGTAGCCCAGGCCATCTTATTATAGTTGCTTCCCAAGTTCTGAAATTATAAGCATATACCACCATGCCCAACTCAATTATTAAAAAAAATTAAATTTCCTAAGAGGAGTTTCTTTTTCTTCTTCTTTTATTAATCTTTGCCTTTTGAGATAGTCTTACTATATAGCCTTGGCTGGTCTGGAACTCAGTACGTAGAGCAGTTTGTCCTTGAACTCACATTTACCAGCCTCTGTCTCCCAAATTCTGGGATTAAAGTTAACAATATGAATTTCTTAATTCATATAGTCAAAACTCACTCATATGTGGTAAAAATATATGCCAGGCATTATGCTATGCTAAATATAACGGAATATGTATAAATTGTTTCACAGCATATACATATATCAAAACTTCACATTGTGTGAGGTTTTTTTTGTCAATTATACCTTCAGTTGTACACATACAGAAAAATAGTATATACAGAGCTGGGGATATAGAGAGCTCAGCAAGAGAGCATTTGCTTGGCATATGCAAGACCTTGGGTTCAGTTCCCCCGTACCACATGAAAAAGTAGCAAGGGTCTAACTATGTACCAACTTGGACAGAAACTTAAGTGATGGAGCATCAGTCAACCTGAAGAGCCAGGGAAGCATCCCAGATTAGGAAGTGTTTGAACTTATGCCTCAGAGAGTTAACTGCTTGCCAAAAATGCAGAAGCAGATATCATAGTCAGGCAGATGGAGACTGGGATGAAGATCATAGCTTCATATGCACAAAGGGAGCAGTAGAGGAAGAGCAGCTTAGGGGACAGAGTAGCAACAGTCTTGAATGCCTTGTCAGAGATTTGAGCATCTATTTCATAATTAATGGGAATCAAAGCTATTGAAGTTTAGAGTATGGATCTGAGTGAAGTGGGATTAGAATACAAAATTAACTTTGCATATCAGCAAACTCTGGCAATAGTGTGGAGATGGCTTGCGAGCATGAGAGCTGAACACAGGAAGATTTAGTCTATGCAATAGTCCTGGAACTGCACTGGTGAGGGGGAGGAGTGTCTTCTGATTTGTAACTTTTTGCTATAAAAATGCAATACATAGTTACAGTGTTTCCATAAGGGGTTGTTGGTTTAAGATCTTAGTTTTTATGTGTTTACTACTTTCATTTCTGGGATTTCCTCCTCTCCTTTAATCATCTTTTATTTTATTTGTTTGTTTGTTTGCCTTTCTGTTTGGCCTCATTCATTTCACTTATTTTTGCCAGCCTTCTCTTCTGGAATATTTCTTTCATTTTCTTCTTAAAAGTATCAACTGCCTTAAAATTACCTTTTACAGAAAAGTCCTTTACACAGAAAAGGGGAAGGTGTTGAGACTTTAAGTTTGAACCCTGAGATTTATAAGGTGTTCAAAAAACCTTGTAAATTCAAAATACAGACTATTGCTCAAGGTTATAACAAACTTTTGTCTGTCTACTTTTACTATAATACTGCCTCAAATATAGGTAGGTCAGTACAGTATGCCTAATGTTATATAGCATTTAAGTTTGCATTTTGTTGGGATTTGCTGTTTTTATTTTTGCTTTTGAATAAATATGAATGCTTCAAGGCTTTCTTAATTGTATAGAAGAAAGGTAAAATGTCAGGTGTCTAGAATTGTTCCCTTTAGTTCAGATAGTGACAGTTGACATTGTATTAAGCCCTTGCTATTTTCAGGTGCTCTGCTGAATTCTTAGTCATTCATTTTCACAGCACACTTGGAAGCTGCATGGCAATCACCAGCATTTTTGTTTGTTTGCCTGTTTTGTTTTTTAATGGGAAAACCAAATGCAAGAAGGTCAGATAACTTTCTAAGGCAAACAGGTAATCAGCAACAGCTCTACAACTCCAAGTGAGATATCTCTGGCCACTCCTTGTTATTTCCAAGCATTATATGTCAGTCATCAAGTGGAATCTCTATGTGAATTTTATATTCCACTAGTCTGAGAACTCTAGACTATTTCAGGCAGCTACAGGCTCCAGCTAGGGAGCTATGCCAAGTACCAGTGAAAACTGATGGGAAAGAACCTGAACTGGTCAGGTTGTCAGTCGGGACAGATCATGAAGGACTCCATGTGTTATAAAGTTTAGACATATTTTTAAACAAATTTCTCTCGAGTATTTGTAGGGGTTGTAACTGTTTAAGAATTTCATAATACATATAATGTATCTTGATCAAATCTACCACTCACATTTCCCTCCCAATGTCATGTGTTGCTCCCCCGCCCCTTACTGTGTCCACCTAGTGCTGCCTGTTTGTACACGGGTTCCTCTATTGGAACAAGACAGCCTTTCAGGAGCTGTATGTCCTGAAGAGAACTGACTCTACCTTCCCCAGCAGCCATCAGTTGTGAATAGCTCTTGCTGCTGGGAGTGGAACTTCATGAGTTCCCGCCCCTGTACATGCTGAGATTTTGACCGGCTTGATCTGTACGTGTCTTGTGCAAGAAGTCATAGCCTCTGTGAGTTCATGTGTATAACAGCACTGTTTTGCTGCAGAGATCCACTACCTCTGGTTCTTACAATCCCCCTTCCCTCCAGGATGAGCCTTGAGGGGAGGAGGTGTGGTATACCTGTCTCACTTAGGACTGGACCACAGCAGTCTTATCCTCTGCACATTGACCAATTGTGGCCTCTGTATTACTATCTATTATAAAAAGAAGTTTCTCTGGTAAGAGCTGAGATGCACTACTCTATCACTGGCAGGAGTTAAGTGGGCCAGAAAGGATAAGTCAGATTAGAAACTTGTCTTTTAAATAATCTCCCACCCAATATTTGCTCTTTATCAAAAGAACTTCCAGCTTTGATGGCCCTGCTTACATCTAAGAACATAATCTTTTGATATCTTGAAATTCTTGACTTTTAAAGAGATGTACCACACTTGTTCTGTGAGACTACATGTAAAGAAATCAAAAGAAAATAAGATAGAATTATTGCTAAATCTTTTAACTTTTCCACTGCTTCTTTTGCTTCTTAAGATCTCTATAATTTGCTAAGTGTGAACTTTTAGACCACCTGTGTTAAAGTTGAAAGAGCAAATCAAAATCAAATTTTCATTTAAAATGTGCCTATATTTAAAAGAAATTTAAGTATGAATTCGCGCGCCCCCCGGGGGTTTCAAGGTAGGATTTTTCTGTGTTAAAAGCCTTGGCTGTCCTGGAACTCAATCTGTAGACCAGGCTGGCCTCGAACTCACAGAATCTGCCTGCCTCTGCCTCCCAAGTGCTGGGATTAAAGGCATGCGCCACCACCACACAGCTAGAAGTATAAATCTTGGCTAGTTTTCATAAATACAGAAGCATGGCTCTGAAATTAATTTTTAGCTTATGCTCCTGTAATAACTCAGCAGTGCAGAACCATGGGTTCACCTGCAGCTGTGTTTAGGTTGTCCCAATAGGAGCTTGGGGGCATTTGAGGGGAAAGGCTGAAACAAAGCACCAGGATCTCAGGGATTCTGTACTTGCAGCACTGCTCCTTCCTCGACATCATGGCTAATTTTTCATGCATTAAAGTGAGTTATCTTTAGTTTTAGTCTCCAACTTTCACATTTTGAAAGTTTCATAATAGTACCTGGTGATTCAGATATATTAGTTACTTAGAGGAAGTTTTCAGAAAATAACTACAACTCAGAGCTGGAGAGATGGCTCAGTAGTGACGAGCTCATGATGTCCTTCCAGGGACGCAAGTTCAGTTCCCAGCACCCATGAAGTGACTCACAACTGCCTATAACCAGCTCCAAGAGGTCCAGCACCCTCTTCTGGACTCTACACACGCATGTACATATGCACAATAGTTAAAAATAATAAAAATACATCTTTTTTAATTAACATAATTCAAAGACTTATTAGAACTTATCAGGACTTAGGTCCTGAGGTTGGTAACAGGCAATGCTGATACAAACTCTGGTGATATCATCTGAATCTGTCACCTTGGCTAGGTTAATTAACCTCTCCAGGCCAGGGCTTCTGTTCTGTTAACTAGAAATTAACTATGCTTTTCAGGAACAGTGTATAGAGATTAATAATTATTTAAGATGAGGAGGCAATTCAATATAGTAGGTAATAAACAGGCCACTTGAGAATGAATCCTGGCATGACACTTACTGGCTTACTGACCTGGAGACATTTTCTCCCCACCCCGCCCCCATTCTCAGTTTTCTTATCTGTAAAGGGGGAATGGCACAAGTTCATATCTCATAGTGGTTGTTACTTGATTAATATTTGCAGAGTACTTAAGACCAGGGTACACGGTCCTGTTCAAGTGTTTGCAAAATAAATTGTTAAATTTCTTGGCACCAAGTAAGCACTCAGTAAAAGGAGGCTGCTGCTTGCATTCGAAACATAATTGATTCCATTAAAATAAAGCTGTAAAACTTTGATGGCCAGATAACCTCCTTCAGCACATAAAATAAAGTCCACTGGCCTAGAGCCTTGTCAATGCCGATAGTAAAGGAACACAGAAAATACATCACTTGCATTTGAAAGTATTTGTCTGATACAACATTCGCTCTGAGCAAAACCTTAAATGTAATTAGTA